ATCATATCTGGCACCTTTTACTGATGTGATAGTGGAAACCATCTACAGAGCTCTGATGTTTTCTACTCAAATAGCCTGTTGATCTCACCTCTAGTCGTCTCTGACTGTGCAGATATCCCTAATGTAGCCAAATTATCTTGTCACCCTGATTGTAAAATCCCCCCCTCCCCCCACGACCCTCTCTGTATTTGTCTGCATGTGCAGCCAGTCCATAATAGTCCCTCTCTTCTGGCAAGCATTGTTGCCTAGGAGTCCGGGCATGTGCAGGTGCTCAGGGTCTTCTGAGGACACTCTGTGGTCATCATCCTGATATCATTCGGCTGTTGTCCAGTGGCATAGCTGCTGTTAACATAACTCTCTCTGTCCCCAGCCTCTGCTTGGCGAGTCACCTCGCAGAATGGCTTCTGACTCTCATACACAGCACAGGCTCCCCTTAAACACAGACCACCTGCACCAGCCTTATACCAACTGTAGTATTAATTAATAAATCATAGTTCATTAATATAATGTATTACTATGCAACCAATAAGAATGATACAGCAGAAAAAGACGTAATAATAAGAACGATACCCACAAGACAGTGTTAAGAAAAAAGGCTGTTACAAAATAGGTGTTCTTAACTGAAAAATGCCCATCAAGATGCTATCAGTTAACAAACCTCTGGAGTGTAGGAATATGGCTGATTTCCATTTTCTTCTATTTGACTGATGTCTATTTGACAGCCTTTTTAGAGAATGGCTCAAGGCCATATTAGAAGAGAGAGTACACTCCAAAGAGTTTGGAGCGGGCTGAGCAAAAGAAGGAGCTCAAAAGGCCTATTTGACAACCTTTTTAAATGAATGTGTGCTATTTTGGAAAAACAGAAAACATTAGAAATAAAACAATTCAAAATGGAATGTTCAAAAAGTTATCTGTTTTTTTGTATGTGTTGGGCCACAAGCCTGCAAAGTTGTATTGTGTGGTGTGGTGTGGTGTGGTGTGGTGTGGTGTGGTGTGGTGTGGTGTGGTGTGGTGCGGTGCGGTGCGATGTGGTGTGCTGTGGTGTGGTGTGGTGTGGGATGGGGGGGTGGAGTGTGGGGTGTGGCATGGCATGATATGGCGTGGCGTGGCGTGGCGTGGCATGGTGCTGTGTTGTATTGTACTGTATTGCATTAAATCCCACTGCAGCAGCAGTCACAAGACTTTGGATGAGGGTACACTTTGTCTGTAGATGGTGCAGTGTCATTATTCCCGGGGAGCCAGGGCTGGAGAGGTGGAGAATTGGCCACCACCTGAGTCATAATACTGCCCTAGAAATAGGTACAGTTATGACTCTAAATGAGATCTTAGATGAATGGTTTTCAGACATTAGCAGGAGAACCACTTTTTCAAGTGAAATCTTACATAAAATACTCACTCCTAAACAAACAAAAATGGTGTTGCTCTGGTTCCAGTAGGAATTGGGACATCCAAAAATTTTTTAGAGTAGCTCCTGCAGTAGCTTTGTAGGCTTCCAAATTGACAATTTGGAAACAAACAATAGCTGGTGTTAAGAAAGCAACTTCCATTCGAGCCATAGGTTTGTGGACTCAGCGTGTGAAATCCAGCTGAAGTTATTTTTACTACCCAAGCATGCCCATGTATTACATGTACACCTAACACCTTAGATAAAATGAAGTTTTCCTTTCTCTGAGGCTCCAAAGTACTTTATGCTCTATTATACCAGCAATAACATGGTGTCTGAGCAGGACTCAGGCTATTCCAATGAGTGCTGCAGGTAGGACTAAAAATTTGCACCCTAACCATGGGCTTCTTTAATGTGTGTTTCTATTCACTGGTTTATATGGGGGTTAAGGAATCTAGGCTGGGGCAGGAAAAGAAATCTAACAGTGACCATGATCTCTAAGTAAGGCTGGTGTAAGAAGAAACCATGAGGTCCCATGGAATAAAGCTCCCTCAAAAGAAAGCACAGGATCTAATGGGAGAAGAGGAAATGGTGGTTTCCAGGTGAACAGAATGGCATTACTTGGAATCATGAAAGCCCAGCCCATCTGTTGGTACCTAAGCATTCTGGGGATAAAAGGCTTATGTTTCCTCATGAAAATAGCGATGCCATTACTCTGTTGGGGGCCTCTCTAGAAAAGTAGAACTCGGTGGAAGGAAGCCACTATTCCAGCTGGCAGAAAAAAAGAAAGTCAGTGCCAAGCCCCAGCAGAACATCAAGCAGACATCCCAGAGGTGAGCAGCAGCAGTACTGGGAGTGTTTGGAGCAAAGAGTGGAGCAGGAGTGGTAGGAAAACGGCACGCCAGATTGTTTGTGCACAAGAACGACGATTGAGGAGAAAGCACAAGCAATGGGGTAGCCAACTGTGTGGACAACAGATGAGACCACAGGAGACACATCCGGTCTGGTTTGAAAATGGGAGCGGGAACAATATGGCAGAGGCAGAGAGGTGGAGGTCTAGTCACTGACAGGTTGAAAGTGAACTAGCAACATTCAGATGGAAATGTTCAGGTACGCTCATTTGTACACACTTACTAGTAAGACTTGGAGACATTGGTCTATCGATCGGATTCTTGTTATTTGTTCACATGATTGGGTCTGGACATTACAGGTAAGTCCTCACTCAGTGTCCTTATTCCGGACTGTAAGTGAAATGACATGTAAGGAAACCAATTTTACGATGGCGAATGACACGACATTATTTGAGGACCTGCTGTATTAAGTACTAGGTCCATGTGTGATTCTGCCATGCCTCAGAGGCCTATGCAGCAGGAAACGTTCTCAGGTGAGACCCAGGTTCTGAGCAATGAGGCTCTTGGACGTTATGACATAGTAATCACTAGATACTGGGGTATTTCAACTGGTACTAGGAAGTTAGCCGAAGAGATTCCTTGGTTCAGTGAAGATTGCTCTAAGCATAAGCATTTTTCATATAGAGAATAACTTTTATTTAAGAAATTAGAAAAGGAAAAGCTGCACAAGGATCAAACATCAGTAGCTTGGAATTGAGATGGTTCAGATAGTACAAGAGTGTCCAGAAATCCACGCATTGTAGATTATCTTAGTTTCATCTAGTTATAAGGTCAAAACATGTCCAACAGACATGTATGCATTTCAAACTAGCTGGGGAGAGCACAGAACAGAATATATACCCTTTCCCACCATTTTCTAAAGGGAGCCATGTTATTCTAAACCTTGTCACCCACCCTTCCCTACCTCTTTGATTCTGAAGTCCCACATGCAGTGGAACCATATTTATAGCATACTCGTTTATGTTCAGATTTTTGTGTTATAATTTATATGTCTATGAACTTATGTATTCATTTAAGTTCCAGAGGATAAATGAGAATTCCCCATGGATTCAAAATTGGCATAATTTATTTCACAAGTAGGCATGTTAAAATAAGGATTGGACATGATTCAAGTTCAAAGTTTGCATAAAAAGTTAAATGTACAAAAAAAGGAAATTAAATGTACATATAATTAATGTTTACAAAGGCATTTCGAGGGAATGCTGGTTCATTAAAGTGTGATTTTATTAAGTTGTGGAGCTGTTAAAAACATTTAACTCTCCCAACTTTGGGCAAAGAAGAACTCCAGAGGGAGGCTCTTCAATGAACAAGAAGCAGTTGGACAAGTTGTCCTCGAGTCTTCTCCCCAAGACTCACTTCTTCTTTGGGGTTCTCTTATTTTGACTCTCAGTATCATCATCACTTCTAAATACAGGGAAAATTCCCCTTTAAAAATCTAACTCATCACTTAAAATATAAAACGCCAATAAAATATGCTTAAAAATATACATGTATGGTTTTTCAAAAAGAGAACTTCCACTAAAAACTTGAACAGAAAAGTTCACATTCACATGGAAAAAATAGAATCATTAAAAACAGTCCAATTTCAAAATAGGTGTATGTGGTTAAGGAGTCTAGTGAAGCGGCAAAGGGTTTGGCGACTCCCAAATCTCCTCAGTTTAAGACAAATGTACTTGACTCTGGGGGGCAGATGAACTGGGGGGAACCTTTTCCTCCACCCATGGCCGCTGACTGCCATCGTATCTACCTTGCCACCTGTGTCGTGTTAAACATAAAAATTTATCACCTCCTACCCAAGGACAACGTGCAAAATACAAAGCTCAGAGTGTCAGATTTCCTGGTAGCCTCCAACTCAGTTTTGTTGTCCAGTTTGAGGAGTAAGAGTGATGAGAAGAATGGTGGCTCATAACCCATAAAATAGTTCTCTGGTCTTTTTCTGCCGAGCAATGGTAGTCATGCTTATTACTCCGAAGCATTCTCCGATGACTCACTCAATTTACCCTGTCCAGCCCATCAGGAAGTGATTAGACAAAAACCTACCCATTTCAAATACAAAATCTAAGCCATATAATAATTGCAGCCTACAAATACTGTGACTTAAACACAGTAGTATCACATGAAATGAAAGTCGAGGGAATTTAGGACTGACCAAACAGAATATTCAATTAACAAAATACTTTTTGTTTTAAAAAGAGGCCAACCCTTATTTAGTCTTGACTGATCCCTTTAGAGAAATGTGGCATATATTGGTTTTAATAGTGTGATCTTTAGCTTTATGATAATCCAGTTAAAAACAATTCCCTAGGATATAACTTCAGTAGTCCTATTAATTCCTGTATCAAAGGTATCTAAACGAAACTCTTTATATATTCATCTAAACTTAAGATTTTAGGAGAATTCCTAAAAATACAAATCTATAATAATTTACTAAGATAATTTTCTTGCTAGAATAAACATTAAATTTTTTATACTAAATATTTGGTAACTGTATTCATTTATCAGGACTATCAAAATGCAAATAAGAAATAAAAATAACTATCAAAGTAGGTTTAAAAATAATTATACATAACATCTTCATTTGTAATCATCTATCTGTAATGTTAGCTCTGAGAAAAGTTATTAAACACGTCAATAGATAACAAGGTAGGAGAATGGTGAACAACATATCTAACTTTAAACAATTTTACGTTAAAAAAAATACTTACTCTTTTGCTTCCCTCTAAGAGGATATGTCCTGAGTTTTTCAATAATATCAACCACGATCAAGGAAGTCAGAACCAGAGAGACTGGCAGGTCAGGTAAGGGGTCAAGTAACACAGTAGTGAAACCAACGTTCTTTAGAACCTGTTTTCAGAAAACCATTTAGAAGCATTAAATCTTTGAGCTTTCATTATTTAAAATTATTTTAATCATCTGAAAACAGTGCTAAACTAATTATAAATACATTTATTAAAAGACTAGAAGCTTGGTTTTCAGCTTCTCAAGTATTCAACCCCATATGATTGTGAACCATTTCTAAAGATGTAATAAGGATTTGTATCAACAGAAGAACTTTCAGTTCAAGAAAGAGTTTAGTGTATGCATGTAAAATATAACAGCAGGCTCCTGGTAGTGGTAGAATAGGCAATGCCTTCCAACCCTGCTGCTAAGCAGAGCTTTCTGGGGTCCTAACTCAAAGAGCTATAGGGACAAGTAGTGGAGTTTAGGGTATTCCAAGAAGGTAGAGCCCTGGTAAACCCAGCTAGGCTTTGGGCACTTCCTTCATCTGATTAAGATATCTAAATAAAAAAATTAAAAAATTAAAAAAAAACAACTATGGCAAGCATCTTTTTAATGGTGATATGTTGACAGTTTTTCCTCAGAGATCAAGAACAAGACAAAGGTGCCACTATGACCATTTCTATTCAACATTGCACTAGAGGTCCTAGCCAGTATAATAAAGCAAGAGTAAGAATAAACAGTATAAGCATGGGCAAAAAAGAAAACAAAACTTCATCATTCATAGACTATACAATTGTATATGAAGAAAATCCCCCAAATGGAGAAATTATTTCTACATTCCAATAACAAAGAGAAAATGAGATTTAAAAAAATGATACCACTCAATGCAACCACAATCAAAAATCCAAGTTCTTCTAGAAAATGACAAGCTTATTCTAAAATTTATATGGAAATACAAAGGGTAAGACACTAGAAGAAAACAAAAAAAGATATGAATATTTACTCTTCTGGATATAAAGGGATTTTATAAAGCTACAAGAATTAAGACAATGTGGTGTTCACACAGGAATAGAAAAGTAGGCAATGGGACAGAAAAGAAAACTCATAAATAGGCCATGGATATATACACCTGGTTTATAATAAAGGTAGCACTACAGAGAAATGTGAGAAAACAGACTTTTTAATAAATGGTGCTCAGTGCACTGGATGTTATTTGGGGAAAATAAATAGAATTTGCCTCCCTACGGCACAACAGGTACAAAAATGAGCTCCAGTTGGATTGTAGAGAGAATGGTAAAACAATACAGGACCTAAAATATAATATAGGAGAATATCTTCAGGATCTCAAGTTTCAGATTTACAATATGACAAAATCTTCTCAAACAAGTTACCAAAAGCACTATCCATAAAGGAAAGAAATTGGTAAATTGGACTATTTTTAAATTAAGAACTTCTTTCCATCAAAAGATACCATTAAGAGTATTAGGTCACAGAATAGGAAAATAGTTGCAATATGCATACTCAACAGAGGGCTTGAAATCTGAATATGTAATTCATCCAAATCCATTTTTTAAAAGATAAGCAACACAATGGAAAAAACGGGCAAGAAAAAGATTGTCAATCTCATGAGTGATTGGGAAAATGCAATGGAAAATTACAATGAGATTCAAGAATACAGCCTCAGAATGGCTAAAATAAAGACTTACAATGCAAGTGCTGGTAAGCGTGTCGAACAACAGACATGCTCCCTCTTTGCTAGTGGAAGTCTAAATAGGTCTAATCTCTTTGAAAAACTGGCATTATCTGTTACAATGGAACATTTGAATATTTTATGACCCTTCAGTTCTACCCCTGCCTATTTCACCAACTGAAATGCTTGCCCATGTGCACCAAGAGACAAATGCAAGGATGTCCACAGCAGCATTATTTATAGCAGGCAAAACTGGAAACAACTGAAATGGCCATCAAGGGTAGAACTGAATGAGTTGTGATATATTTATAAAATGACTCCACAGGAATGAAAATCTGTGGGCTACAGTTGGACACAAAAACAGGAATGAACCACACTTTTGCATAACAGAAGCCAGCCACAAATTAGATAGATGGTAGATGATTGCTAGATAATACATAATTTGACTTCCCTGTATAATAGATTCAAAAACAGACTAATCTGTGGGATTAGAAGTTAAGGTAGAGCTACCTTTGGGGCGGAGGGAAAGACACATTGCAAGGAACATGGGCAGCTGGCAAAGTTTATTTTTTTGACCTGGGTAGTATTTACACAGGGTTTTGATTCGTGGTACCCCGTCAATATTGTATATTTACGTTTTGTGTACTTTTCTGTTTGTGCGTTACACTTCGGTGAAAAATTACCCTCATACTTACCTCTCTCACAACACTTATCATCTGCTCAAAATAGGAATGAAATATCACAAAGTAATTTAAGTTGTGCACTTTGGGGAAGTGACAATTATATCTTTCACAGCACTTTGAAAATTAATAAGATTAGCGGGGCATTCTTCTTTGAGCTTCTTGGATAATAAATTCTCATGATCTGAAAGTTCTACCTATAATATTCCTGTCCTGTGGACACCTGTCTGTTAGAGTCCTTTCGAAGTTGCATTTAGTCAAAACATAAAGCTCTTTCCAAAGACGTATCATGTGCAAAATATTTGTCGGTGGATATATTATCAAAGGTCTTAGAGCATTAGAGGTTATTCACTGGAATACTGTTCTATTCCATTTAGATCTGAATACTATCATGAAAAACAGGTCAGAAGAAACAAATGTGGACCTACTTTCAAATTCCTTGCTCTTAAACATTATTTTGAAAGAACAATCCTGTCACACACACACAAACACAGAAGTAATTTTTGTTTGTTTGTTTCCATTGGCTGTTAGACTTTTCTCCACAATCTCAGGGGTAACAATGATCTTAACACTTTAAATATATATATATATATATCACAATTTGGAAGAAGACTGGATTTTTAAACTGTAAGGAATGTGTTGGGTATACCACACTATCCAATCCCAATAACAGAGGACATTTTTAAATCTCAAAATCTGGCAGGAGAAGAAATCAAAATTCCATACCTCAGTCATGGCTATTGAAAAGCTGAAGCTGGGAAGTGTGGTGAGTACCACACACATCATCATAACAGGTCTCCTAGCAAAGGAGAAAAAATAAGCAAAAGCAGTAATGTACAAGATCAACAGTTCCTGTTACTTTTCGCTAATTCTGCAGTTCCCGTTCCATTCATCTATAGTTTTTCTAAGAAGCTACTGCTTCCCTATTTCCATTTCCCAAATGCTTCAGTATGGCAAAGAGGAACACAGGCAAAAAAAAAACAACCAAAAAACAGAATGCTTTTCTAGAACAAAGGAGTGAGAGATCCAAATCGCTAACAAATCACAGACAACTAAAAGCTCACAGTGTAAGACACATGACACGCAATGTTTTTCACAATTCAGTAATTAGAATCCAGCCCCAGAGTTCAAGCTCTGATGACCATCTGGTAAAAAAGGAACAGTATGATTTTTTTAAGGTATATTATGCCTCATGTTGTAAAATTGATTTTTTTAAAAAATACATTTAGAGATGATATCTAGATACTTAAGGATGACTTATATTGAAAACATTTGGATATTTTTTACTTGAACCCCCCCCCAAAAAAAATCATATATACATAAAAATCACATAATTTTTCAAACTTGTTTTTGGACCACTTCTTAAACCTTGCAAGATCAATCAGTGATTGAGATATAATATGTATTTAATAGTCTATCTTATGGCAGGGAGAATTTAAATATCCTCGTCCATTTAACATCATTGATTTAGAGGAAGACAAAATATACTTAAAGTTTTTCTATAATGAAATATTTACCTCCTCTTTCCTTAGTTAAATACATATGATATTCATTACATTTATAGGATGGTGTGTATCTAACTACAAAAAGCACTGGAGTCTTGCAAATGACCAAGAATTTCTCCTGGGTTCTGACAGGCATCCCTCTATTCCAGCCCCATCTCAGATGTTCTAGACATAGACATAAACCAGACCCAGCATGACCTATTAAAACGAGAGGTATGATGGGATTTTTAATCAGCTGCTTTGCCTCCTTTTCTGAGCCCAGATCCAGGTTCTTGCAACACTCAACTCTCTAAGACTAGCTAGAGCATTTACAGAGTCCTCTTCTCAGCTTGACCTCTAAAAAATTAAGAGCATCCCAGGAACTACTCCTGCACCTCTTCTTTGTCTCTATTTCCTCCCTTGATTATCTCACCCAATCCTATGGCTTTAAATACCACCCACTTGCCCATGACTGCCAAACCTATTATAATCTATGTATACTGGTCTCTACTCTGTGCCCTGGACTTGCACTTCAACTGTCTTACTTGGATGTCTAGTAGGCCACTCAGACTTAACATGCCTAAAGAAGAACCCATCCACAGCCTTCTCCACACTTGTTCTGATCATCATCAAATCCTATCTCATTTACTGCCAAAATACATTTTGAATCTATCCTCTGCTAACACCAGGATTCATCTACTATCATCTCTCCTCTGCGGTATTTTCTAAATGGGTTCCTGTTCATGCCTCTCTATTCTAGCAACATTTTCTCCAGAGTCAACAGTCATATTTTAAAATGTAAAACACATCTTATCACTGACCTGCTCGAAAATCTCCAATGCTGGGGGTTATGGAAGAACTGGGGAGTTATTGTTGAATGGATAGAATTTCAGTTTTGCAAGATGAAAAGAACACAATGGATGGATAGTGGTGATAGTAGCACAATGAGCAATTAGAAGAAAATTGAAACTTATTACCCTAGCCTACACTGTTCCCCATAATGTGATTTCTCTTATTTCTCCTACTTTCCTCCTCACTTAGAATGACCTGCATCTCCCCTAACACCTACTGGCCACACTGGCCTTCTGGTTATTTCATGATCACACCAAGCCTGTCCCAAGTCATACACTGGCTATTCCTACTGCCAGGGGCTCTCTAATCCTGGATCTTCCATGTCTGGCAACTTGTTGTCATAAAACACGCGCGTGCGCGCGCGCGCACACACACACACACACACACACACACACACACACACACACACACATATATATTGGGTTATCGGAAAAGTCATGACATATTTTTTCTGTTTTTCATTGCAAAAATGCAACATGACTTTTCCAACAACTATATATATAGAAATAGAAATAGAAATACATGTACACATTTTAAGAAAGAAAAACTGTATTAAAATTGTAATACTAGGGCCGGCCGAGTGGCACACTGGTTAAGAGCTGGCTTGGGACACTAGAGGGCCCCGGTTCGGATCCCACATATGAGGGCCAGTGACACTGCCCTCTACAGCTAAGATGCTGAACAACAGCTCAACCTGGAGCTGGGCTGCTGTGGGTCGCCAGTGACGGCGTAGGCTGCACTCCCTGTGGCAGTGGGTTGCCATAAGCTACCATGTGTAGCCGGCAGCCAGCGTGACCAGCCAGCAGCCACCGTGAGCAGCCATCCAGAGGCCGGCGACTGATCTGCCTCGCCCGGGAAGAGTGCAATGATGGTGCCAGCTTGGGCCAGTGAAGCAACATCCTCCACAACTAGACTGAAGAACAAACCAACAGTAACTTGTCTGTTCCCCTTCCCCCGATTCCCCAGCGCTGTTCCCCTTCCCCAATTCCCCAATAAAATCTTTAAAAAAAAAATTGTAATACTCAACATATACCAATAACAAAAGATGAATCAAAAGATGAATACAAGTCACGTCTGACTTCTGCAATTACACGAGGTGCTCAAAATGGTTATCGTCAGCATCCAGAGACTTATGATGAATATATATTACATGCGATTTTCTGAAATTCTGCTGATTATTTCATTACTTGCTTGTTGATGTCACATCCCTCTTTGTCCACAACCAAGATAGTTTCCATTAAAGCAGGGGCCTTAGCTAAGCTGCTCACTGCTTTCTCTCCACCATCTAGAACAATGTTTTTCAAACTTGTTCATGCAGTGAAATTTCTGGGCATCTGGGGAATCCTATGGACACTTTTCAGAATAGAATTTTTAAATGCATAAAATAAAATACACCAACTTATAAAACAAAGCAATTATGTTGAAGTAATTATCTAAAATCTTAAAATTTTTGATATATTAATAAACGTGCCTACCTACAAACACACTGTCTTCTTATTTTCTTGGGAATACTCAAGATCTAGTGGAAAATGTAATCACTCATAATTTCAAGGCAGCAAAGATCATATACCATATTCTGAAGTATATGCAGCAATTACATATTGTGACATGAAAAAATCTATGATATGTGTTATTAAAAGATCTATATAATAAAGTTACAGGTCCTGCTAATACTACTGTAGTTTGCTACCAACTTTCAAAATGAAAAGAAATGCTAGTTTTCAATGAAAGGTTTGTGAAAATAAAAATGTAACTTGTTTCTCATTCAAGTTCAAGGCACCTCATGATGCCAGAGAATGTCTGGCACATAGTAGGAATTCAATAAATACTAAATGAACAGATAGAATAATTATTAAATAAATATCAATCCAAGTCTCTGTTTTATTTAACCAGAAATAATGATAATCTGTATCTGGAAATCTTGACTTACTGCTAGCATATGTTTATCATTTATTAATGAGTGTTATGGGTTGAATTATGTCCCCCCAAAAAAGATAGGTTGGAAATTCCAACCCCTAGTACCTAATAACATGACCTTATTTGGAAACAGGGTCTTGACAGAGGTAATAAGTTAAAATGAGGTCATTAGGGTGGGCCCTAATCCAACAGGGCTGGTGTCCTCATCAAAAGGGAACATTAGGAGGAAGATACGTACAGAGGGAAGATTATGTGAAGAAACGCAGAAAGATGCCATGTGAAGATGAAGGCAGAGATCTGGATGATGCATCTTCAAGCAAAGGAATGCTAACGGATGCCAGAAAAACAACAGAATGTGGGAGAGCGGCTTGGAAGGGATTCTACCTCATGGCCTTCAGAAGGAACCAGCTCTACCGACACTTTGAGCTCAGACTTCTAGCCTTCAGAACTGGGAGACAATAAATTTTTGTTGTTTAAGCCACCAAGTTTGTGGTACTTCATAACAACAGTCCTAGGAATTTAATCCCATGAGTCATAGCATTTCTGTAAAAAATATCATAGACAATCCTTTGAAGGTGAAACTAATGCGAGGCTAACACCACATTACAGACTGGCTGAAGAGAAGGACTTGCGGACATGGTGTAATTTCCAGGGTAGAGCTCTGTATGTATCTGTAGTCAATTGTCAAAAAGAAGGACTCTCCCACAAGCCGGCCTGTGAAGAAAGACCAGCGCTCTGCCATGGTGAGTTCAAGATTCCTGTGTGTGCAGCAAGAATTCTGGCCCTGAGATTTCTCACAGAGGAAGCGTGGAGAGTGGTAAGGTCAGATAATAACTTGGGAAACCACTCTGCTTGAAAACTCAAAAAGGTTCCCTTTTACCTACATCATTAACCCAGTTTCCTTTCCTTTCTTTCAAGGCTTCCCATAATATGGTCTGAATTCTCCAACATATAACAGTAACACTCCCACGCCATTTTACAGACATTACTCAAACTCCACAAAAACTCTCTGAGTGGGGGTATCGGCCCTAGTTTACAGAAGAAGAAAGTGATGATGAAGGTTTCATTAATTTGCCCAAGATCCCAAAGTTAGGTAAAAGATGAATTCTAATCCAGTTCTTTCCAAAACTCACACTCCTACCCATTCTGCAATACTGCCTGGTTGATTTCTTTCTACTCCCTCCTTTCTCAGCAAGTTGGTCTTCTCCCACCCCTTAAAGAGGTCACGCTTAGTCCTACATCAGCTCATTACTCTTATCATGCCCTCTGGAATGCCTTCCTGCTCCAGCTTGGCTCAAATCCAGTTGTCTTTGGGGAACTCCCTGAATACTCTAAAGCACAGTGCTCTCTTAATAAACCTGAGTCCACAACCCCCAGCTACTGAACACTTGCTGAGTGCAGGGCACTGTGGTTGTCTCATGGGGTGGGAAGAAGGAGAGAATGAATCAAAAAGGGAACCTTCCCAACTATCAGTACTAAGTTTTGATACTTTTTTCTTGGCTTATCAAGGCCTTGCGGTGGGTGAGTCACATACTATTTAGTGATT